ACATGAGTTAACAATGGCAAAAATACTTCGCCATTACGAGAGTAGGGAAACTGCCTCTTGGCCATACCATGGGGGCATATGTTGGTGACCCCCAGACCATACCATAGGGGGGTGGATATTGATCACGGGGGGCGTGTGCCATGACCCCCTTGACCACCTCATGGTGGTGTATGTCGAGACCCCCGAACCACACCATGGGGGTGGCTTCTTGTCATCCTCATTATCTTTCCATACTTAGTCAAATTTCTACTCCAAGACCTCCCACCCCCTTGGTACTTCCTAGGGGTGTTATGATGGCCACCCCCATTGGCACTTCTTGGGGGTGGCAATATGGTGCCCACCCCCCTCGACACCTACTGGGGGTGGCGGTACTCTTTGCCTTAGCCAAATTCGTCTATCACCCCATCACCACGTCATGGGGTGGCAGTACCCCTTGGCACCTCCTGGGGGTGGCAGTATGGTGCCCACCCCCTCGGCACCTACTGGGGGTGGCGGTACTCTTTGCCTTAGCAAAATTCGGCTATCACCCCATCACCACGTTATGGGGGTGGGGTTGACGATACTCTGATACCCCCTTCGGCATATCATGGGGGTGACTCCCATACTTAGCCAAATTTGGGGATGTATGGTACGCGTGATGGCATAGAGTAATGGGTCCAAAAACCCAATCCTCATGGCCCACTCAACTGATTTAAACTGTTATAATTAAGTTGGCCTTATAAAGCCATTTAATTTCTTGCTTTTAATCGATGTGGTACAAGGTTAATTTTTATGGGTAAACAAGTAGGGCTGAAAATTACCCTGACCTGACCCTACTCTAATCCTGTCTGACCCGCTCCTAAAGGGTCAAGATGTATACTGACCCGACCCTCCCCTGTTTCCTTCTTGACCTTGTCTGACCCTTTAGGGCCGGGGCGAGTCAGGGAGGGTTGGGTCAATGGGTCGACCCTTATCAATACACTGATTTTTTACAAATTACGTTTTGGTACCCAATATTTTTTTTACAATTTAGTACCTTTTTTTTACAAATAAGTCCTTAAAATTTGATTAAAAATTATGTTTTGGTACCCAAATTTTTTGTTTTTTACAATTTAGTACCTAATCTTTTAAAATTTCACAAATAGGTCCAATGTGTTGTTATTACGTTTTGGCTATTCCAAGACAATGATGGAATTAGAAGACATCCACCTGGTCATTTTCTACAAATTGAGGAAAGGAAGTTGAACTCCGACATCAAGCTCACAGTTTAAAACATCGCTAATCTGACAAATGAGTACACAATCATGAAGATAGGAAAGGATGAGGAAGAATAGAACACCAAGGATCTTCCTGACTTGATCGAGGTAAATTCTATTTGAATCAAAATGATGATCAATCTTAATTAAAAATATGTGATATTCTCTATTGGATATGGAATTGTATACCATGTAAAGGTCATATTCTCTTATATTCTTTTATCTATTTGACATCTTGAAAATGCCGAATGAAAGGAGCTAATGTTTTAATTAACATAATTGGTTTGGATGAATTATATTCAAATAAATCAATCTTGATTAAAAAGCTGGAGAACAACATTCTATATTTTTCACTGCCTATACTTGAAAATAAAGAGGATTTAGTATTTCTAATTTTTTATTCAGTGGGGAACTTTGCTTCCGCTCCCACTAACTTGCAATTAAATATTAATTGCATGCGGCTCCAAATCCATCTACGACATATATTGACCATTTATGATTTGATAAAATCATACCATATGTTGTACGTTTGAATGTCAATAATCTAAATTCATAATGTTGATGGAGGAAAACAAGAATGAAACTGTTATTGATGAAGGTAATGGACCTGGTGCTAGAGGCGATGATGTTGAGAAGAAGAAAGACATTGTTCATGAGGAAGATATAAAGACTAGTGATGGGGACAAAGAACAAATCCTGAAAATTGTTGGTCACTTGGTCGAGGTAAATTCTACTCCAATAAAAAATATGATTTGTAGGGCTGGCAGAACGGTTTTCGGTTAGCAGTTAACCAGACGGTTTCAACCGAACCGACAGGTTTTCGGCTAACCAAAAAACCGATTCTTAAGACAGCGGTCGGTTGGCGGTGGGGAAGAGCAGGGGTCCGGTTAGCCGACTAACCGGGGTCGGAAACCGGCACTTAACCGGCTAAACGACCCCTTCCCTTTCCCCTTAAACGACGCCGCCCCACTAACCCTAAGCAGCTCCACCCTTCCCCAAATCAGTCGACATTCCCCCTTCCCCCTTCTCGCCTAACAGTCACAGAGACCAGCCCTTCCCCCTCCACCATCGTCGCCGCCTCCACCTCGTCTTGCCCCGCCCCCTCCACCTCATCGCCCCGCCGCCTCACTCTCATCTCCCCGACTCCCCTCCACCAGCCACAAGACCACCCTTGTCGACTTCAATTCGTCGACCCACCGTTCTGCCACCCCTAATTCCAACAGCAAACACACTAATCAATCGATCTCTCCTAATCTTCCCTCACCTTCTCTAAAAAAAATCCAACGCAATGGCCAGAAGTGGCAGCAAGCTTTACAAGCTGAAGTCGGTCCTCAAGAAGCTCAACTCCTTCAACACCAAGCTCAACCGAGGAGGAAGCTCGAACACCAACTCCTACTCCTCCACATCCTCCTCCTACTCCATCGACAGCGTCGGGGACCTGCAGCCCGTCTACGTCGGGAAATCGAGGAGGCGGTACCTCCTGAGCCCCGACATGGCAGAGGATGGAAGGAAAGAGAAGAGAAGTGCTCTGTTGGTGGTGGAGGAAGGAAGGAGAGAGGAGGAGATAAGGAGAGAGAAGGAAGGAAGGAGATAAGGAGATAAGGAGTGGTGCAGATTTTTTGTTTTTTTTTTTAATTAAATTTTGTTTTTGTTTTTGTAGAAAAGGTAGTTTTCCGGTTGGCCGGCTAACCGAGCCTAAAACCGAAATCGACCGGTCGGTTGGCCGGCTAACCATGACCTCTCTCACAGTCGGTGGTCGGCAGCTATAGGGGATGGCTCGGTTTAACCGATAACCCGGTTTTCGATTTTCGGTTTAACCGAAACCGACCGGATGCACCCCTAATGATTTGTATATGCAAATATGATTTACAATCAATTTTTTCGGCTCAAAGAATGTAGGAAACAAGGAAGAGATAACAGTTTTGCAAGAGAAGAAGGAAGAGTCTATTGATATTGAGGATAAATGCGTCACTAATAATAGAGATGAAGACATTATTACTGGCGCTGATCAGGTGGTTACTCATGCAGGAGGAAATGCAAACAAGTCAAAAATAAAAACGTATTATAATTTCTGATGATGAGAAGACATTAAAATGGTCATTCTAATTTGTCTATAGGAGTCGGTTCCTATGCATTGGGTTTTTATTTCATTAATCATTAAAATGTCGGAAAATAGTATGAAGTTGATAATAATGTTTATGGAATTTGAAAAATTAGATTTTATTATACTAATGCGTAACTAATACACAAATTACTATTGTTGCTATTTACGTGATTGTCAACTAAATCTGACTTACTGGCCGGGCCTGTAACCAGTTCTTATTATAATTAACAAACAATTCTTCATCCCCTTTATAAAGGCCACACCCACACTTCATACGTATATATATTTCTTCTAAATATAATCGAATCATCGAGTGATGCCCATTTTGGCTCTATATATGGTCTTCCCTTCGCCACATCATTCAATAATTTCACACTGTACCATTTGCCAAATTTAGAGGTCGATCGTGACAAAAAATCTTGTACTAAAAGAAGACCACAACTATTCACAGTTAGGTCGCTTTTGTAAGCACTGGGTTTGATTCTTATGTTACATTCATTCAACCCACCCCAAAAAAAAAAAAAAAAAAAAAAAAAACTAAAAGCAAAAGGAGGGGGACAATTTGTTGTTTTAAATATTCTTATCATTCATTTATGAAGGATAATTTATTAATATTTGTTTTTTTCTTGACGTTACAGGTGAAATCAATGGTAAATTTATCGAAATTGTTTATCTGATATTGTTGTCCTTTTCACCATTTTTATTCCTTAAAAATGTGATTTTTTATATAAAAATCTGAACTTATAGGTTTAGAATGCATCATATCACCAATACATGTATCCATTAATAAGTCTTTGGAGATCACGTGGTGTCATGTGCTGGTATTGTGGTCGTTAAGCATCGTCATAACCTTGCTCGTGACACCTTATTGGACATACGTTACAGGTCTTGGATTTCTGCCGATAAGGAGGTTGATATCGGCCTGGTTGATGGACATGGCATACCCCTTATTTCTGCGGATTTCCTGCTTTATTCTTTGGACATTGGGCAAGATGTGTGTGTTGATTTGACTGAGTCTTCACCTTTGACTCAGACTGGGATGACTGGTTTTGTGTCGGTGCCGAGTTGTTGCTGATGCTGCTCAGTGAAAATGTGCCAAGTATCAGGGACTTGTGCATGGCGGCTAGTTACGGGTTCTTGCCCTTTTCTTTCTGTTCGCTGGGAGAGTTGGACATGGAAGTTGTGGACTTTGCCAAGCGGATCCAGAAATTCTCAGTGTCTCAGCATGTGGGGGCTAGGGCGGTCGTATACATTTTAACTTTGCTGTAGCTAAGTGAGCGGGGCTCAGATTGTATCTCGATTGTCCACTAATTTTTTCTAAACGATCGTACTAATAATAATAACATTAATAATAATAACAATAACAATAACAATAATGAAAGTTTACTTTATAAAGATTGATCCGATAGGCCAGCTCTTTTTGATAGTTACAAGCACTAACAAAAAACCCACTACACCAAGTTGCACCCATCATGACATTGTTAATTTAGAATATTATTTTATAGTGGCACTATAAATTAGAGCCCACATGAAAAAGCTGTTTGCCCATTCAATCACCTCCCACCCGCCTTCCTTTCCTTTCCTCCCCCCCTCCCTCCTTTCCAGTTTCTACCCCAAATTCCTACCTGCAGCTGCATCATCACATACCAGGCGGGGAATCGATGTTCCGAACGTTAGCGAGACTGCGGCGGAACATAAAGAAGAGCCCTAGAGTTGCCGACGAGAGCATGTTTGGAGGAGGAGGGGTGGTGATGATGAATAGAGCTGGTGGTGGTGGCGATCATCGTCAACAAGACCCAACTGATCACTCGTTGAACAAGCTCTCCGCGGTGATGGGTCTCGTCCTCCTCGCGCCCTTTTCGGTCTTTGCTTGCCTATCGCAGCCTCATGTCAGCGGGGCTGACGGGATGTGGGCATCGGCGGAGCTACCACAGCTCTCGGAGGTGAACCATCTCATGGTGAATGATAGCATGAGGTATGCGATACTTATGTAGTAAAGGAGTGCTATAAATTATTATTGATTAGGGCTTATGGAGGACGGCAGAGGAGCTTCTAGGAGGGGGTTTCATGGAACATTTTTGTTCTCTTGGGGTTTGTTTTTATTTTGGAGAAGAGGGGTACTTGATCGATCTATGTATACTTCCTTTTGTTCATGGTTTCTTGGGAGGAATTGAAACTTCCTTTTTTTTTTGTACTATTGGGATTGGCCTAGCTTGTAATCAAAAGGGTTTCTTTTGTGATCTTCAAATATATGTGTATGCGCGTGCCGACGAGAATGATTTACATAATCATGTAATTAGTGGATGGTTAAGTAGAGTGGAGAAGTGGAAATTTCATCAACTAAATATTGTCCATGATTTTCATCAACTGAAACAAGATTCAATTAATTATTAATTTAAATTAATTAAAACAAAAATACCAAGATTTTTTTATGGAACATACATACAAATATTCATGGATCATCCCAGTCCTTACACTTCCAGTTGTTTGCTTGTAGGATTTTCATCATGGATTTTGGATCAAAATCCCACACCCGTGGGATTATGCTCAAAGTCCATGTTTGGTGTTAAAGTGGTGTATGGTGTGTGGGCCCATGTATGTGGGATTATTTTGAGGTCAAAATCCGCGGTGTCCACGGATTATAAAATCCCACCTATTTAGTTGGAATTTGTGGGAGGCTAAAATCCATGATGGTAAATGACGGGTCTATCCTCATCTCTTTTCAATATTTCATATATTGAACATTAAGGACACAAATCATTAAGGATACAAATGTAAATTCAGCCCATAATTGATAAATCCTATGGACACAAATCCAATATGAAATCCAACAAGCAAACATGCACTTTTTAAAATCCAACACAAATCTAAAGTAACAGAATCCCACATAATTCTTCATGCATAAAATCCAAAAATTTACCTAAGTTCTTCATTTTCTAAAATCCTACAAGCAAACAATCTCGTTAGTTCATCAATCAAGCAAAACCCTAATTTAGTACTCCCAAAATTGTTCATTTTCCTTTTTTTCCCCCTCACTATGTACTCCCTCTTTTCACTTCTTTATGCCTTTTTGTGCACAAAAAGGTAAAGGGGGAATTTTTAAGATTGTTTGGGAATGAGAAGAAATTTTGGATGGACATTAACGACCCATCATGTAATTGAACTTTTGTATGTGGAACAGAGAATATAAATAAGTGTACGTACAGAGATTGAAGTACCTGTTCTTTGATTTTTCTCTCAAGTCTGGTCATGAATCATGATTAGAGAGGGCAGGTTAATATATAAGGAGAAAGGAGTGTCCATGATGCCTGTGATTCTTTGGAGTTAAATCTTAAATTAATCAATTCCCTGTCTCTGAACAAAAATCGTCAGGATATGGGAATCAGTGCCCTAGGTAATAGGCCTCTACTTTACCAAACATAGATGAAAAAAATAATCAGGAAAGGTTTTATTCCATCCATCACTTGACTAACTTATGGGATTGTAAGTAAGTATGCACCTGGTGTTCGATCAATCTAATTCGAAGCAAGCAATTGGAGGCCGTACAGTGGATATAGTCACAGTTTTCATAATTGCTTGTTATACTTTCCTGATGGTTATTATAGGCTTATCTTGATTCCTCATCATGAAAAAATATAAATTTCATTAGATGTTAGAAAAAACACAGACATTCAAATTGTCAATTATGACTCATGAGAGTTGAGTGGCACTCGGTGTTGTAGTGGGTTCGAACTCATATTTTGAGTGTTGAAAACTATTTTACTTAAACAATTAAATAACATATCCTTAAAAATAATTATCTAAAATTTAGACCCTTCCAAGTTCCAAACATATTTTCAATGTATAGACTAAAAATAAAAAAAAATTTGGGGCGTGCACGCCGGGTTCATTTTATTGATGAGCTACAGAGTTAACTGGCAAGCGTCCTCCAATTAGGCTTATAAGTAATTTAAAGACCAAATGAAAGTCTCAAAATTGAACATTTTACTTCCCCATTTGATCTTTACAAAGTTGGATAGTTCCCAACAATTGGAAATAAAATGATTCAACGACTAAAATGGGGGGAAAAAAAAAACAATCATAGTTTGTTTTGTCTCCTATAAAGACGAGACCATATTTCTCCCAATTTATTATATCATCGTCCAGACGTCCACCATTTGCAACTTTCACGCTCTCTTCTACGATTAATAACTTTCAAATCATCCTCCACCATTTTCAAGCCCTTTTTTCATATACACAAAAGATTGGGTAAATGCCACATTCGATCACTGAGATTACTAAATCATATCATATTTAGTCACTAGAAAAAAATTAATATCAACCGTACTCTAATTAATTGTAGCTTGAATGAACTACGCGGGTCGTTTGGATGAATCAATCTAGAAATGAGTCAATTTGATCAATTACCTCGTTTTATAAACGAGATAATTAAAACGAGTCAATTCGAATTACCTGCCCCCACCCCAGGTAATTGAAATTGACTCAAAGCGGATCAATTCAAAATACCTCAGACAGATTGATCCATCCAAATTTTTTGCTGGCAAACGAGACAATTTGGTACAATTGTCTCAAAACGAAACAATTGTGTCAAATTGATCCGTTACAATTCCTCATCCAAACGACCCTATCTAAATCAACCGAACTGTACAAATCGATTTGATTTCCTTACATGGGATACAACTGTGCGGTAATGATTAGGGGAGTGACTAACAGTGCGGTAATGATTATCGTTTCATGGTGGAATGGTGAATATGTTTAAAACTTAAACCATTTCCCATGACCTTAGTGGTCACTACACTGCAAATATGCACTACTAATTATGGGAATATTAGGCCTGGCATGAGACCCAATAGCAAGTCACTAAGTCAACTAGGGTAGGTCATAACTAGCAATCCAACACATATATGCTATAGTGGGAGAGTAATAAAAAATGGTGAGAAGTAGCTATCTTGTGGCTTTCATTAGAGATGAAATTTGGATGAGGGAGAACTAGCTATCTTGTGGCTTAACATTTTGATTTCAACTAAAAATGATGTTTTTCTCTATAAAAAAAACTAAAATAATGATGTTTTAAACATCTGGAATAGTGAACTCCATTTGAAGAATTGTTATCAAGTGCTATAAAGTCGATTTCTAAGAGGAAAAATCAAATGTTGAATTTGAATTATGATTGTGATACATAGTGGTGGTGGTGTTATATTGATAAACAGGACCCGCGTATTCTATAAAGACAAATGCTACTTACCAACTTTCAAATTCCATAACAAACATAACATGTCTACATCAATCAAGGATTTCCCCCCACTCACCCACTTAGAAATATAAAGTTGCTTGTTTATTTGTTGTCGTAGAAAATACACCATGTAGTTGGCGGTGGTGGTTTCTCCTCCTAGTTCTAGATGGCCATGCAAATGAGTCAAATTGTTCACCAATAGTTCGACACTTGATTCAGAAAAACATATTCGCTGCTGATAGTATTCAAATTAGTGTTATTTAGAATTCATATTTAGACTTGTTTCGAGTCATTTTATATTTTCCGTGGTCAACGTATCACCAAATATACCATGAATGTGCTTTAGGCCATGTGCAGCTCGGCTCTTTCCATTAAATTTTTCTTGAGCTAGGAAGTTCACGAGCACGCCCAGACCGGGCGTGTCGTAGGTCGTCTTGTGATGAGTGCCTAGATCAAGGGAGGTTGTGTGCTTTGTGGGTGATGGCTAATGGTGGTGGATTAGTGGGCTTAGGCGTGTAAAATGGGGAACTGGGATGGTGATTGGGAGTTGGTGGTGGAGCAGAAGAAGGTTGGGGAAAAATTGGACGTGGGGAAGAAAGGAGAGGGGAAGGTTTTGGGCCGCTCGGCTGAGAGAGATTGTAAATTGATTAATTGTTTGTGTATTGCTTAATAATCCCGAATGATAATAATACTTAAACTTATAGTTCCTTCCCCTAACAACTATCATAATAATCCCAAATCTCCCCAAAAATCCCAAATCCCCTAGAATCCTATTGAATATCCTCAAATAACAATAATAATAAATATGACTTAACTAATGTAATAAACTGGTGACACGTCAGCAATCTGTGCCTCCATCAATTTCCACCGCTTTAGAACAACCTTTCCCTCAAGGTAGATTATCTGTGTTAGCCTTTCTTACCTCTGCCGCCACTTCCTCGGCCTCATCTTTAAATGTTCCTACTAGGAGCATGAGATACACGTTAGCACAGCAATGTCAGATGGTGTAGTGCTCATCCCAATTGTAGCACTTTTCATCTCTTCTCTTGCGCTCCATCTCCGTCGTTGTAAGACAGACAATACCCCCTGGTGGCAAACATGGACCCCCTCTGGCCGCCGCAATCCGCTTCCATTTCCAGTCCCACCAGCTCCGACAACTCCCCTTGCGTGCCCCCCCGTTGGCTCTCAACGGTCTTCCTAGGATCCCTTTCAAGCCTATCAACTCCTCTTCTTTCCTTTTTGCCACACGGAAAGTAACTCTCACAGAATAGGGTTCACTCACTTTAACAGCAACTACAATTTATGGTTTCAACCTAGCTAAATACAACCCGACCAAGCTTCCTCTGGAATTCCATAACACAAATTCCTAAATCATTCAAATTCAAACTGGAAATCACTTAAAGTGCAAGTTTGCTTCAGTTTGACCAACTTCTCGGAAGATGACTCGCCCGTCCCTCTAAACCGATCTACGAATTCTTTCTTGCGTCGCTCCCATATGATTTCTTCTCCTTTCTCGGCATATGTATGCTCCAGCCACTCCCGCCATTGTTGAGCTCCAACCTCGAGGTAGAACGACGTGAGGTAAGCCTGTCTCTCCTCTGAAATATTCTGTTGCCAGAACCACCGTTTCGCCAGAGCCACCCACAGCGGCGCATTTTCAAACTCAATAGTCGTAACCCGCGGCTGGAACCAGCTTCATCCTTTACCATCTCCATCGTACCAGCCTCCGTTTCTTCCCTAGTGTCCCTGATTGTGGTCGTC